TGTGGGTGCAGAAATAAGAACGCATGTTGCTGTTACTGAGAACTGGGACATTCGGTGTGGAAGAAGGGGGAGAGACATGTCAGTCAGGGAGATGAACTAACATCTTAGTTCTATATTTGAACAATAGGTAACAACATAAGCTCAGGATGCTCTTAGAATAAAAAAAAGATTCCTGAGGGAATAACTAACAAACCTGCCCATCCTGAGCACCTCTCATGCCAGGGTCTGTTTTTCTAAATACTAAAAGGAACTGGAGCTTCTTAGAGAAGTGGCTTATTTTTAATTTTGGACAGAAGGTATAAAAATGAGCTGGGAATACCTTATCATATGAGAAGCAAAGAATTTATTTACCAAAGACAACTGGACCTCTCTCAAAAGGAGTTGGGAGTGAACCTGAAGGCTTTTTGTTGGCCAAAGGTGGGAAACTTCCAGCTTCCACAATGCTAGTAGCAATGAACAAACCAAACTGAATAAAAATGGAACTTCATGCAAACCACGTCAACCACGTATGCTCCCACACAAAATCGTAAATCAGACCTCCATGGCTTAATTTTAGAAGCAGTTGCACAGCTGTTATTCTGAAAATTATTAGAAACAATAAAAAATGCAGAGAGTCTTTTAAGAGGCATTTATTCTGTCTTTCCTACGTGAACGCACACAGGGTAACAAAAGTCACGAGACAAGGTTTCTCTTGATGAAAGCATTTCCGCTAATAAATAAAAGGGAGAAAGGGCTGGAATGAACCATGGGCACTTTCTGGCCCCTGAAGAACTGCTGAACCCGTCCTCAGCTTCTCCTACAATGGTCCTCTCCCACCGTACTTACTGAATATTTCACAGGATTTGAACTTTATAACTCAGTCCTTTCTGCTCAGTTTCCCGATGCCTCTCGAGGCGCTTTCCCCTTCCCTGTGTCCTCCAGATGCAAGGATGAGTGCTCCTCACGCGCGCCTCACATGCTCACCTACGAGCCTGACGCGTGGGTTCCCTCTGCACAGAAAACTTCCTCCCCAGACTGCTGCGCCTCTCAGTCCTCCTCTGCCACATAAGCCTTGCCTTCTGTCTCCTCTGAAAGGCTGCCCTGCGCCTTTCACAGTCCCTGCACTTTTCCCTCATCACTGTCGTCTTGTAAAATAAAAACCACATTGCAGAAGGAGGTAGTGTCCTACCTTGCTTGCCTATCAATGCCCAACACTGAGATCTGGCCTTGGCATGCAGTAGGCGCTCAGTAAATCATCTCACGTTTGACATGTGAATCATCCAGTAGCATTCCTTGGCTCTTACACAGTGATCAGGTTCATAAAACGTTAGCACCCGGCTTCTTCCATTCCACACACAGAGCTAGGAACGGTCCACACTGAAACTTGCTTGTGGACTAATATTCACATGGAAGTAAGGTCCCATTATACAGCTGACTTTCTACTCACACAGGCAAAATGCTCAGGTGTACAAGAGCGGGGTCAGACCATCATCATCCTGGTCCCAAGGCCAATCCTAGCATTCTGCTAATGAGCAAACATCTGTAGATTTTTTCTCTTGACTGATTTGAAATAATATATTTTAGCCAAAAATATTTCACTGGAAAGTGTAGAGCAGTGTTGATGCACTCATGGCACATGTATTGCCATGCAGTAGGCTGTTTGTATCACTGAAAGCTCTTAAAGTTTTACCACCCCTGGTATAGAATCTCAGAAGTAATTTACATTCCTGAGGTGTGATATAAATAATAATGTACTACACTCAGGAGTAGTGTAACAGCACAAGATAAACAACAAGACAATATAAGCTCAAAGGTGGGGCATTTTGTAGTGTGAGTGTGGACTCTCAATCATTTGGTGACACGAAAGGAGGGTACTGTTCTGAATGAGGAGAGCTAAAGGGCTTCACCAGATGAGATGGATCCTGCTTTGTCCTGCGATAGATGAGAAAAATATGGGTTAAGTATTAGATTGGATGAAGATGTTGGAGAGTTGGAGATTGGGCCAGGTTACAAAATAGCATGTACTGATGGATGTTAGTGAACGTGTTTATCCATCTACATGGAGAAAGGCCTTGTAGTTTAAGGCACTAAGGGAAGCTCTGGGTGGTGCCCTTCCTCTGTCATTTCCAAGCTTCTATTATGTACTCATTCTGTTTTTGTAGTGACAAAATTTATTGTAAATTTTCATAATTACCTCTTATATTAAGAAGCTAAGTTTAAGCTGAGGATATAGCTCAGTGGCACAGCGCCTGCCTGACAAGCACAAGGTCCTGAGCTGGATTCCCAGCACCAAAAAGCAAAAACAAGCAAACAAAGAAAAACTAAGTTTAATTTTGAAATGATGAAGTTACGCCTTTTATGTTCAAATTGAAAACAGTATTTTTTCTCTTGTTTAACCAGGTGACTTGGGCAGATTTCTACTGGGACATCTGTAGTACCACACTCCTGATCTTTAAACCTGACTTGCTGGACAGCCACCCGAGGCTGGTGACTTTGCGGAAGAAAGTCCAAGCCATTCCCCGCATCGCTGCCTGGGTGCAAAGCAGACCCCAGACCAGACTCTAGCTGATCCGTGCCGTCTCTGGCTTTGCTGTTCACAATCATTTCTCCCTCCAAACACGCCAGCTCCATCACCTGCCCCAATAGCCTTCCACACACTCCCCACCCTACCTCCACCAGGACATCCACTGTTGCCATATCCTGGATTGAAAAATAGTATTGAGTTTTTATTCTCTTTATTTCTAAACAATAGTTTCTCACCACTTATATTTTCTTGTTTTTTGAGACTGTATCTTCCTAGGTAGTACAGACTGCCTTGAACTCACTTTTAGCCCTTGAATTCACACAGATATTCCTGCCTTGTCCACCCAAGTGTTGGGATTACAAGCATCCAAGACCAGGCCTGGAAAATTTCACACCATTTATCACTAAGGAAAAATAGTTTACATGTAGACATACAAACTTGGCAGCTAGCTCTTTAATCCACAGTTCTTTACATTAAGAATGTGCACATCAGAAGTGATGATCTGTGGTGTCGGTGATTTGCACAGACAGCATAGGGTGCTATTGAATTGCTTGCTTGTGACCAATTGATAAATCCATTGGATATGTTGCAAAATAAACATACAGCAAAAGAACAAAAAATGGAGTTAAATTCAAATCAAATGTAAGTGAAGATATAGGAAAAGAGCTGCAGGTGTAGGGAATATCACACTGCTTTACGTGAGCAGGTTCTAGACAGGAACTTACTGCGGGAAATGTGATTGGCAGAAATAAGGAGGCTGGGTACTGGAGGCTGAACCTGAGCCTTTACACTGAGCTATTATTTTTTTAAATTTTGAGACACGGTCTCCCTAAGCTGCTACGTCACTGAGACTAGACTCAAACTTGTGATCCTCCCAGAGTGCTGAGATTACAGGTGTGCTTCACCATACCCTTCTGGGAAGGTGGTTGTGGACCAAAATGTTTTAAAGGGCTGAAGGAATGGCACTGGCAAAAAACCAAAACAAAACAAAACATAAAACTTCATATGAAAGAACAGAGATCAAGAGAATGAGAAGAGAAGCCACAGACTGGGGGAAAAACTTACAAAATACGTATCTGATAAAGAGCTGTTACTGAAAGTACACAAAAACTGGGAAAACCTAAGCATAAGAAAATAACTTAAATTCAGTAAAGGACTTGAATAGATAGATATCTTGCCAGAAAGATGTACTGATGGCAATAAGCATATGAAGATATGGCCAACAAAATTTTATTAAGAAGTTTCAAATTAAGATGAAACCCAAATACGCATTAGAATGTTGAAAAATCCAAAAGATATTGTGTATTGAAAATATGGAGCCACAGGAGCTCTGGTTCATTGCTGATAAGAATGCTCTCTCTGTACACCCTGGGCTGTACAACCACCCAAGCTGAGGTATGTCTTTGTCACTTTGGTAGATAGAGAAAGCAATCAGACCAGTCTGTGCTGGATGTAGTCAGTGGGTAGATGTTCATACAGACATCTGGACCAATTTCTAGAATTTTCAGATCCAGCTGCCCCTAAAAATCAAACGCACTGGGCCTAGCTACTCGCCATGGAAGGTGGGGCCCCATGTACTTCCCCACCTGAGCATAAACTTCTTAAGTATGTACCTGGCTCCTTCCCCATGACTGTCTCATGGCTGTCTCTGATCCAGTCACTGTGGGATGGTGATACCAAGAACTCTGAAGCGAAGCTGTTCTGCAGCTCAGTTTTAAACAGTTCACCACATCCCAAAATATTACCTGACTAAACCTTGTCAAATATCCCAGGCACTGCCCTGGCTTTCTTCTCCAAAGTGTGCCATGTGGAAGGAGTCACTTTCTGTGGGAAATCCTACACTGATTTTGTTTACAGTAGATATGAGCTGTTCTTGGGGCCAGTGCTGCTGTTTCCATCTGTTTTTTCTCACTAAAACTGCCAACCCTCCAGGCTTACCTGCTCTCCCTGGGTGTTGCCTAGCCCGGAGAGGTTGGCTGGGCTGCATTAACCTCCGTTGCACAGTGCTGAGGAGAAACAAAATGCAGAGTGAGCTCCGAGCTGGCTAAGGCCACAGCCAAGGCATTGACTCCATGGGCATGGACTGCATGGGCATGGAGATGGCTATGGTGAACATGGCTGTGGTGAGTCTTTCAGGAAGGATTTTTCAAGTTGGCTAAGATGATGATCATCCCAGATGACATGGGGAGGCTGCATCCAGGTGGGTTGTGAAGTTCTAGCTAGCTTTTGTCTATGGATTTGAGAGCTTTGCAGTGGTCTAAGACACAGACAGTAAAACACCTGATTTAGATTATCTGTAGTGTGGAAGATGTGAAAGCCCAACAAGATGAGAGGTTAATTTTTTTCCCACAGTGTTATGGTTTGTATCTGGATGTCCCCCCAAAGCCTAAGGCAGTCATGGGGCAGGCTTCTAGAGTTTATGATTGATTTATGGTCCAATGTTGGAACTATGGATGTGAGTGCTACACCTGCCCTGGGGCAGGTAGTTTGCATACAGTGTAAGGGAGGGAAAGGGCTTGCTCTTCCAGGTGCTGCTCTCCCTTGGGCTTTTGTTGCTTTTGCTGTTTTCACCTCCCATGAATGGTTGCCCTCTGCCATGTGCCACTCTGCCTTGGAACCAGACAAGTATGGACTGAAACCTCCACAAACAGTGAGATAAATAAACCTTTCCTTCCTTCATTTTGGGCATTGGGTATTTTGTCTCAGCAATGAGAAAAAAGTAACCAAGACACACAGAAACTCTTATGTGACCTGAGTGTTTTTCTTTATTTTAAAAAAGTTTGCTAATCAGTGAAAGCAGCACATGTCTCCAGAAACCTGCTACCATAGCAAACATTTAATGTGAGCTTCAAGATAGCTAATACTTTTCTGAATCACCTACACCCAATGTACCCTACTATAACAGTAAAATCTGGGTCTGTGTGTCCCAAAGTCAAAGAATGAAGTCAAGGGCAAAGGGGGTAGAGAGGAAGAATGTTTATTAAGAGAAAAGTAGCTACCAGTATTTGGGAGGGGACCTACGGCTGGGTTGCCTTTCTCTAGGAGTTTACAATACCACAACATGACCTGGGCTCAGACCAGTCTGATTGAAATTAAAGGTAACCTATAGTAGTAAAGCAAGCTTATGGAAACTAGAAATGGGCCTAGGAGGAGTGGGTGATCATAGGAAACATATGTCTGCAAGTGCTTCTTGGCCTCCATCCTATCCAAATGGTTCGTTCAATGAATAAAATGAGAAAGACAAAAAAAAAAAGACTTTTTCCTGCTAAGTAGGAGCAGGAGTTGTCATATTTGGCATCCATCACCATGCTTGTTGCCTTCCTTGTTACAGACCTGCACTTTATTGTCCCTGGTTTTTAATGGTGGACCTCAGGCTTCTATTGACTTGGCCAAGACCTGATCATCCTACCTTGGGCCCATAGCCTCTCTGGCTTTCTGCTGTCTTCCACCTAACTTACCTGTTTATAACTAGAGAGTATATATTTTGAGATTGTACATGATATATTTTGAGGTGTTGTATTTTCTTTATTTTTTTCCTTATCATGTTTTGTGTTTCACCTTAAGGTAATGTATTTCTCCACAGTAGATATTATAAATGAAGATTTTCCTTCCTTCCTGGCTGCCTGACTTCTTTACTTCCTTCTGGCTTTACCTCTTTCTTTCTATTTGTTTCTTTCTTATGGTACAGAGGACCCTTGAGTTACAACTGGCCTCACATGCAAACATCTTGCATTACAAGTGAAATTTTAGGTTTAACTGATGACCAAATCTTGAGTTATGACCCAAGTGCTGGCCACTTGTGTGGTTGTAAGCAAAGGCTCACAGTGCCAGGAAAATATATGTAAGCATAAGTAAACATCAGTCTGAGCCCAAATATGTGTGTTTGTGGATGTGATCTCAGTCTGTACTTTACATCATCACTACAATTACTGGTCTCAAAATGGCCCCCAAAAAGCTAGAAAAGAAACCAAGGAAGTAAAGGGAGGTAAAGAAAGCAATCACAATAAAAAAAGAAGCAGGAAATTGTGGAGAAATATGAAATGCTATTCTCATGACCAACATATAATAATATGTTCAGCATGTTGAAACCCACCATCTTGATAATCATACAGACAAAAGATCTGTGTAAGAAAGCTAATGTTGCTAAAGGTGTTGCTCAAGTTAGTAAGTCAGGATCAGTGGTGTAGACAAGGTAGAAGGGCTATGATTAGTGTGGATAAACCAAAGGGAGATGGCAGGTGATAGCCTATCCAAGTCTATAATTTGTGCAAAAGCTAGGGCTATAAGTGCAAATCACAGAAAAGATAATCCAACAATGACTGTCAATGATGAAACGTTTCATGCCAGTAAAGGCTGGTTTGACAATTGTAAATGAGGACTGGTGTTCACAGGGTAAGCAGGCATGGTGAAACAGCTGGTGCTGATAGAAGGGCTGCTGAAAACTCTATATACCTCTTGGAAATGACACAGAGAAATGGTTTTTGCTCTCATCACGTTTCTATGTGATGAACCTGGCCTTTTCTGGAAGAAAATACCCAGGAGAACATACATTACCCAGGGAGATAAAATGCCAAGCCACAAGCCTAGGTAGGACAGGCTAACCTTCCTGCTATGTGCCAATGTAAGTGATGACCTCAAGATAAAGTCTGTCTTAGTTGATCACTCTGAGACCTCTAGAGGGTCCAGAAAAGAAAGGCCTGAAGACTAGGCTTGGGGTCATGTGGAGCTCTAATGCAAAATCCTGGGTAACAAGAATAGTTTTTCTTGAGTGACTCAGGGAGGCTTTCTTTGCTACTGTTAAGACATACCTAGAGGACAGGGGTTTACCACTCAAGGCTCCT